GCTCAGCTTAAACACATACAGGAAACCACGAGATTACAAACTAATTAAACAGAGCCGGAGCCAAGACAAATTTGATTTCCTTCAGGAGGAAAATCACATATTTACTCGTGTGCATTTGGGAGACTAATGGATTGATTAAATTCTGCTCTTTAAATGTTTGTGACATTCAAACATGCAGGGCTCAAAGAGAAGATCCTGCAGGTCAAACTCATGAGGAAAAGCTACACAGTGACCTACAGCCCATGTATCCATATATTGGCCACTTTATCAGAAACCCCTGGTGTGCAGTCAGAGACTGTAGCTCATCTGCTGATGCACAATTTGGCCCAATCCCATTTACTATTTTACCCTTATCCCTTGTTTTCAAGAGTCACATTGCCCCTTAGAACTGAGTTATGGGGTAGTGGTTGAAGTCTTCCTCTATGAAATGGAACCCTCAAATAAAAAGAGCATTACTTCATTAACAGCTACCAGCGCTGCTCTGTAGGCGACCCTGCCAGTCTGCAGTGACAGCAGAGGAGGGTAAAGTTCAGCTCCTCACTGCTGGGCTTTAGTTACATTTAGGGCATCATATGGGGTGGGGGGGGTGACAATTATTTATTATTGCCCACCCCTAATTCTTCAGTGATACGAAGCTGAAGTTGGCTATTTACCAGCTTTTTGTTCGAGTTTTCCTGTTACACCCTAAATAGTGCTGAAGTTCTGATGCCTGAGGTACCAGAATGTAACTGCTGCACCATTTAAGGTGGAACGGGAAATTTAGCTAGCTAGCTACCAAGACATCAGCATACAACTAGGGACTTTTTATGCTTGTTATGAAGAAAAGGACCATAATACACTGAAACAACATTGAACTAAGACAATAAAGTGGTTATTGTAATTTTGTAGCAGAAAAAATTCTCACATTTGTGGGTTTCTTTGGTTGCTTGTGCAGCCATCTTGCCTTTTTTCCTCATAACACTCCATTTGTTGTGTGTCTCTGAAAAACCTCCGTTTGGAGGGCCATGTAGCCCTAACACTTCGTCCTACCCCTCTATCTCAACAAGAATCGTGACACCCTACCCCTGGGCCTGAACAGGCAGAACTGAGGTGTAGGGCTAAGTGGTAGGGGCAAGGGGTGAAATGGGATTGGGACTTTGTGTCAGCCATCTTCCAGTTCAGTGGTCTCCAACCCTGGTCCTGGAGAGCTGCCTTCCTGCAGAGCCTAGTTCCAACCACAATTTGCAACACCTGCTCCAGCTAATCAACCTCTTCCCAAGGCTGATTGGCTGGATCAGATGTATTAGAGTTCAGGAAGGGGGTGGGGCAGCTTATTGGATTCAGGTTGGAACTAAACTCTGCAGAAAGGTAGCTCTCTAGGACCAGGTTGGAGATCACTGATCTAGTCCTTCAGCCATGGTTCAGCTACAGATGCAAAACTAGCTGCTGTGAGTTGCTCAAACCTTATTAAACTGAGCAGAATATGCAACCAGTTTCCTCCCACACTTTGTATAACCCTCCTTTAAATGCACATGCATGAGAAGAAAAGCCATGCGCACCTCCCATTAGCTGCGCATTTAGGCTTTGGTTTGTGCGTTTCATGCATAACGTGGACCAAATGTGTCCAATCTGCATCTGAAACTGCCACAAAAGGCTCATCTGTGACTGTATCTCTCCATTCACTCGCATATTTTGCTTTGACTGTCCTATTGAATTGAACCACATGCCAACGGATTAATCTTAGCAGGTACATGTGGTGTTCAATGTGCAGTTTTATTGTGTCACTCACAGTATTATTGTGTCAATATCCCATGTGGGATATGCTCTACATTTCCAAATGTTTCTAAAATAATTTATTTTTCCCTTTTACCAGGCATCATCGTTCTTGTTCAGATCTCTAGCGACCACATGGCAAAACGTACAATGATTATCTACTTTTATGGGATGTTCATAATGGTTTTAAATCATGTATTAGCCTCTTTATCAATATTTAAGTTTCTATAACAGAAAATTCAGCGGCCTATTCAGTCTGCGTGGTTTGCTTTTCCTTATTAAAGCAGATGTTCTGTATAACATAATGCTTGATAATACACAGTTTGTGAGTTCGGACCATGCCTTCAACATGGTGGTGGTAGTACGAGGGAAGACTGATTGAGGGGGGAGAACTCTGAGAACTTGGGATGGAGTTCTGGGCTTCTGCCTGTAACTAGAAGGCCGGACCCCCTTATAGCTATAGTAGGACTGATGCAGGACTGAGGAAGAGGGAGGAGATATAGTGGTGGTGGGGATTAAAACCCTTCGTCATGGGAACGGAAGGTGAGGATATAGGGCGTTACATTGGAAGAAGGAAGGGTTTCAGGTATTTTCCTTCCCCAAACTCCAATTATAACATAACTACATTATAAATACACTTTACTTCCAATACTGCTGCATAACATTGCATAAACACTCCATAGTAGATGTTATATGCTGTCATTCATGACAGATTATACGCAGTAATATAATAATATCATGCTACCATTACTGATAATTGTCATAATAAATGATGCCATGGCTATATAGACTGTACTCAGCAAAATTAGCATGTGACATTAACTGTCATAACATCAAACATTATAGCATCTGGCAGCTACAGTTTTCTCCAAACTGGAATCTACCATGGATGGATCAAAGGATGCTTCTTTGAAGAACCTCCACAGAATGTAAAAGGTTAATATTGATGAAAGATTTTTCCTATTAACCTCACGTTTAAGCCAAGAACCATTTTAAATTTAAACCATTTAAATCATTTTTAAACGAGAATCGTAACGTATTCTCTTTCAACGCTGATGTAGTTCTGAGTGAAACATGGTAATTTACATGCACTCAACAATCCAATCATAATCGGATTTCTGCAGTTGTCTTATTATTCAAATGGTCAGGTAAACAGCATGCTCTGATTTCTTAGATCAGAGTAAGGTCTAGAAATCAGATTTCAGTAGTCAGATTTCTCATTGCATGTGAACTCTTACTCTGATTTCTTTCAGATTTCTCAGTCTGCGCAAGTGCGAAAAAACAGATGGTGATACCAGAAATAAGCAAGCAGTGCTGCTGTGAGATGCAGCAAACATTTTTGGAGTGACGCTGAAAGCAAATACATGCTTGACGAAATTAATGATTTACATATTTTTCATATTCTGGCTGATGTATGTTCATATTTTCAGGTACAGTGGCACAATGATTTAAAAAAAAAAAGCCGCTGCATGAAGCTTGAAGGCTGGTTGCAAAGCAGAAATCTGATTACTGTCTGACTCCTGTAGACCCGGAGTTCATTATCTGATTACTCAAGTGCGTGTAAATGTGTTGATCGGATTACTGACAAAATCTGATTTTCTGCAGTTATCGGATTATTAAGCGCATATAAACATACTCACCATTAGTTGCCTAAAGAACCATGACTGAAAAAGAGTTTTGTAAGTGTGGAGAACCTTTAAAAGGTTTATAGAACTTTCATATAATGTGAAACATTCAATACTAATTAATGGGCTTTTCCTGGAAGCTCTACATTATGCAGAGGTTCTAAGAATGTTGTCTTTCAAATGATTTGATATGATGAAAGGTGCTTAATATCTCCAGGGATATTAACACATTAAGACAAAAAGATCGTTGAATGTACATTTTGCTCTATGCTATATTGTTCTCCAAAGTTAAAGAGGAAATGTTTCTGGAAAGTGCAGAACGCTCAGCTGATTGCTCAGCAAAACACTCAGAACTGGAGGCTGTGCAGGACAGTCAGGGAAATGTCCAGTTCTTGACAACCAGGCTCATCGTATTTGATGAATGGGAACATTATTATGGCCAGTTTTGCTTGGCGTAGTGGAGTGATTTCATTTTAAGTGTGAAACACTCAGCATTTTGTAGTGTTCGTCTCTCGCTGGGATGGACAGCAGCCAAGAGATATTGCTTTCTTTTTTTTTCTTCCTGATGTTGCATGAGGCACTAAAGTCTTCTACAAAGGTCTGGGGAAAACACCGGGGAGGAACGTGACCTTTACACGCCGTCCTCTGTACACAAACGAGTCTCACCTCTAACATGAGTAAAGTTCACACTGTTCTAATGTCTTCCGGTCAGGAGAAGACTCTCCAAACATTCAGGACCAAAACACTGTCTGTCTGTCTGTCTGTCTGTCTGACACCCATCTAGTCATCTATCTATCTATCTATCTATCTATCTATATATCTATATATCTATATATCTTTCTAATGTTCATTAAATAAAAACAGGTTCTGCTGATGGAATTTCACAAATGACTGTGATGTCAGGTGCACAGAACTCAGGAACCAAACCTGTGTTCTTCTAACCGAGATATTATTGGCTTTTTGCAAAACAAATACTGCATTTATATTTATTAGCATTTGTTGTAATGTTATATAATACAGTGTTTTACAGACAAAAACACGATTACTGCCTAGACAAGTTTTTTTAAACAATTTTCATGGCTACCAAATTATCTCTGTTCTGATTGGCTGCTCTATATGGGGCCTCATTAAACACAGCCATGATGGATTTAAAACAGGCTGCTTTTTTGTTTTGACTGTTTACAAAGTACCTCAAGCTTTTTTATGTAAAAAAAAAACAGAGAAATTCTGTTTTACATGAGGAGACCTCTTTATTTTGTCCAGCGGGTTTAAATGAACACAGCAGGTTATTTAAACACACACACTCACACACACACACACACACACACAGTCACACAAATTATCTAAGCCACTTTTCCTCCTGAGTCGCAGGAGGTGCTGGAGCCTAGCCCAGCACTCACTGGGTAGAAGGCAGGAAACACCTGGGACAGGTTGCCAGTCCATCACAGGACATATACATTCACACCCAGGGGCAGTTTAGTATCTCCAGTTGGCCTGACTGCATGTCTTTGGACTGCGGGAGGAAACCCACAGAGACACAGGGAGAACATGCAAACTACACATAGAAAAGACCCGGGTCGCCCGGCCGGGGAATCGAATTATGCTAGAGAGAGGAAGACTTACGATGATGAGCAAGATGAAGTAGATGAAGTTGTAGAAAGAATGTGCATCCATCACGTAGTACATGATCTCCACCCAGCCCTCCAGAGTGATCACCTGAACACAACACCATACATACCATCAGATCACAGCACACAAACCAGTACAGCAGTTTCACCTATCTATCTATCTATCTATCAGTTTTACCCGATTTTTCTCCCCAATTTAGTCGTCTCCAATTCCACCCGCTAGTTAGGACTCCCCCAATCACACGATACTATCAACGCTAGGAGGGTGAAGGCTAACACAGGCTTCCTCCGAGACCTGTGAAGCCAACCACCGCTTCTTTTCGAACTGCCGCTCACGCAACGTCACTGGACAGCCGAACGCGCTCGGAGGAAAGCGCCAACCACCAGATCTGTTACGTCAGCTAACAGACGCCTGCGCTGACTAGCATCGCGCTGAGTGATGGGGGGAGAAGGAGGGGCCATCCCACCCACCCAGAGAGAGCGAGGCCAATTGTGCTCTCTCGGACTCCCGGCTACGGATGGCTGTAGCATCACCAGGGATCGAACTCGCGATCTCCTGATGATGGGGGGCCAACGCTTAGACGGCTGCGCCACTCGGTAGCCCCTCTATCAGTTTTTTTAACTCACCGCATCCCCTAGTCTCGCAACGCCAGGCTTGATCTCGTCTCATGGGAACAATCATGAGACATTTTGGGCTAAATGGGTATGAATGTAAATTTATCTGGGTGGGAACAAACTGAGTGTGAAATGTCTAAACCAATCCAATACAATGGCTCATTAAGGTGGAGCTTAAAGGATCAAAAAAGGGATCAATGGCGAGCTTGTCAACATTGATGGACAAGCAACAAGTCTGTCATTAGCACATGAATGTAGTATAAGTTAGCAAGGCTAACTTACACTTTGATTAAACATGTAGACACTGCATTTTGCTAGATAGCCTGCTTTGTTTGTGTTATTGATTGCACTCTGTTAAAACAGTAGCCTACAGACTAGAGGAATTTTGGTCAAATTTTAGGGGTATGTGTCCTTGTTAGCAGCAGATTTCAATGTAGTGCAGCACCAAAAGTTTCTGGCCCTGCAAGACCACCAAGCCCCTTGAAATGTTTTTACACTTCGACAGCATGTACCTGAAATATGACTATCCAAGCATAGCCGATGTTGTCGAAGTTGATGGCGCCTTTGTGTGGGTTGCTGTTGCCAGTTAAGCAGCGGGTGTAGTACTGGTTCCAGTTGACGCAGAGGCCCATGGCAGAGGCGCTGCCATTGACCAGTGGCTCAGCGCTCAGCCCGAGGGCGTGCCGGTGCAGGACGTCTTCCTTATCCAAACAGCACTCTCTGCCTCCCTCCCGCCGTGTCGGCACGTCCGAGCATGACACGATACCGTTATCCTGCGCCAGTGAGCAGATAAAGGGCCGCTCGTCCTCCTCCTCCGGCTGGTAGTATGGAGCGGGCAGAGTAATGCCTGAGGGTCTGAGAGGGAAGGAAATAAAGCAAAGTTTGGCAAAAAATTAAACAATTTACCCCCTTTGCCCAAATGTAGCCCATCCTGTACTGGAAGTTATGTAGAAATACTCATTTCATTGTTAAGTTTTGATTGGAAACAAAAGGGTTAAACACCCAACGGAAAATTATTCAATCAAAATATATCCTCTGTGGTGTTTGGGTGGCTAGCAAAGTGAGCTCTCCCATTGGCTAGGGCTTCAGGAGCTGGACAGAAGGCCTAACATGTTAGAATAACCACTAAAAATAACTGACAGATGAATCAACCATGAGGGAACAATTTTGTGAGAGACAACCTCACTCTAGGCCTTCTGGAAGTTCTAGATATGTCACTGGCTGTAAATACAGGTGGGAGTCACCAGCTTTAAATAAAACATGAAATGTTTTTTAGAAGCTTCAAGTCTCTGTGTTTAATCTAGTAGAGGCCAAAAAATCCACGTAAATCACTCTTAGCACTACTAGCGCTAACATACTAATAGAAGCCCACAGGGGTATTAGCAGAAATTAGCATTATAGTAGAGGTGTTCTCGACGGGGTTTTGACATTTAGCAGCTGTTATTATAAAGTGTTACCGTGGTAATGATTTTTTTCTTTGTACTCCTGCTGTCCAGTTTCTGTTCTACACTGTTACTCACCTTGTAATTCTGTCTCGAGAGTCAAATCATTGATTCAGTGATTATTACGTGCTAATAAATTATAACACATGGAACCTCTAGAATCTCTTTGGTGTGTGTGTGTGTGTGTGTGTGTGTGTGTATAGAGCATTTGTCTGAAAGTGACCCAATGGGGCAGCTCAGCCCTCAATCGCAGCCTTTTCCATCACACACACACACAATTAGGTTGGTCAGCTAGCTAACAGGCTAAAAGATAGCCAACAGCCTAAAGAACTCCATCATTTATATCACAGGCTTGACTTAAAGTATTTATGGTGTGATTAACAGGCTGAATCCCAAATGGCTCTGTACTCCCTAAATAGTGTGCTAACTATGGACGTTTAGACATTCTAGCCTCTACAGCCAAACAGTGCATCATTTATCATTTATGTGTCTGAGTCCCAAATGATATTTCATAGCTCTATTTTGCTCTGTTGGGCTGCAGGATCCAGTATTTAAATTCCTCAGTAGTGCACTATGTAGGGAGCAGGGAGCTGTTTGAGATTCAGCATGAGAAGAAGGGCCGCTGGATTGGTGCTAAATAAGACTCACGGTGGTAATTTGGTGACCAAAAAGTACTTATAAAATGAAAGTTTTGTGTTAAACGGTGCTGTGCTATCATATGTTCATTGTAATGCGACAAAAATTGAAAAATTTATGAAATGACCGCAGTACACAACAATGAGCGACCAAATGTTCTCCTCATTCAGCGGCCCATGGTTGCTTAGCAACAATACCATACTGTAAAGGAACTACATTTCTTGGTGGAACACTTGTTTATGTTGTTTATTATTAATAATAAAAAGTATTTTCTGAAAAATTGTGTATTTGATCACATTTTATGTTGGCTGCCGTTTTATAAAAGCAATAAGCCACTTGAGGCTGTGCGTTAGTGCGTCTTTATCACAGGGAAGGGGGTTTTCTTCTTCACATCGTGCCTAAGCACATCCTTCCCGTGATAAAATCACAGTAATGTATGGCCTCTTGTGGCTTATTGCTTTAATATGTGTTTTCATATATATTTTCAAACACAGCCAAACAATCTCAGCAGTTAAGGCTAATATTAACTCCCTTAACCAAGTTTCTGTTATTGTGAAAAGCTCTGTGAAGCTCTGCTGCAAGTCCAAGATTCACAGCCATCAGATACACTAGATCTCCAAAGTATTAGCACAGGCCTTTTAATCAGTGAACTCAGCCACTTTGAGATGCACTCTTGCCGACACACGTTCCCAGTTGTACTCAAACAGCTTGTTTAGTCTCTATAGAAAAGCACTGACCCGATGCTCTTGAGCAGCCGCACATGAGCCTGAGGCCACCATGCCTAATGACAAGCATCAGCTAGAGGGGAGCATTGGGCTGTGGAGCAGTGGAACTGCGTTCTCTGGAGTGATTCAGCTCCTCCCCATACCTTGGGGATGAATTGGAGTCATCTAGAACTAATCATTAACTTTAATTTGCATTTATTCTGCCGTTTTTCCCATGAGCCCCTCAAAATGCCTGAGTGTGAGCCTGCAGTGGCCTATATGGGTTATCTGTGAAACACAACCACTCCCACCCAAAACTCTCTCTCTCCCTGCACACGTAGCGCGCTCGTCCCCAGTCCCCAATCTCACCACTTTAGGGTAAATGAAGGAAGCTTCTTCTTCGACCTTAAGGAGGCTTTTAAAGCCCAAACAGATCGATAGCTGATCAGACTGCAATAGAGGGGCTGTTCATTTAGATAAACCCAGATAACCCTCAGCTGCTTCAACTGACTGAATACAAACTCACCCAGTGAGGCTGCATGTGGTTCTCACTGTTACTCTACAACTGCAGTAAGAAAACAAAATACCTTAATGGTCATAATGCAGCTACAATGACCGGCTAATCAGCTCCACTGACCATATAGGAGCACTTTGTAGTTCTACAGACTGTAGTCCATCTGTTTCTCTACATACTTTGTTACCTTGTTCTTCAGAGGTCAGGACCCCCACAGGACCATCACTGAGGTATTATTTGGGTGGTGGGTCATTCTCAGCACTAACGTGGTTGTGGCGTGTTAGTGTGTGTTGCGCTGGTATGAGTGGATCAGACACAGCAGTCACCGTCCACTCTTTTAGACACTCCTACCTTGTTGGCCCACCTTGTAGATGTAAAGTCAGAGACGATAGCTCATCTGCTGCTGCACAGTTTGTATTGGTCATCCTCTAGTCTTTCATCAGTGGACACAGGACGCTGCCCACAGGACGCTGTTGGCTGCATGGTTTTGGTTCTCAGGCCAGCAGCAACACTGAGGTGTTTAAAAACTCCAGCAGCACTGCTGTTTCTGATCCACTCGTACCAGCGCAACACACACTAACACACCACCACGTCAGTGCTGAGAACGACCCACCACCCAAATAGTACCTGCTCTCTGGTGGTCCAGTGGGGGTCCTGACCATTGAAGAACAGGGTAACAAAGCATGCAGAGAAATAGATGTCTGTAACTGTAGAACTACAAAGTGCTCCTTTATGGTCAGTGGAGCTGATAAAGTGGACAATGAGTGTAGAAACAAGGTAGGTGTAATTAATGAAGTGGCTGGTTGGTGTATGTTAGTCTATCCTAGGAGGGATGATGATATGGGGTTGTTTTTCAGGGGTTGGTCTAGAACCCTTAGTTCCAGTGAAGGGAAATCTCAATGCTTCAGCAGAACAAGACATTTTGGACAATTCTATGCTTCTAACTTTGGGGAAGAACCTTTTCTGTTCCAGCATGACTGAGCCCCAGTGCACAAAGCAGCTCCATAAAGGCCTGACTGGGTGAGTTTGGTGTGGAAAAACTTAAATGGCCCTCACAGAGCCTTTAGGATGAACTACAACAGAGGTTTGACCTCTCAAATGCTTTTCTGGATGAATGGGCAGAAATTCCCACAGACACTCTCTAAAATCTTGTAGAAAGCTTCCCAGAGGAGTGGAAGCTGTTATAGCTGCAAAGAGGGACCAACTCCATATTAATGCCTATGAATTTAGAATGGAATGTCATAAAAGCTCCTGTGGGTGTGATGTGTAGGTGTCCCAATACTTTTGTCCATATAGTGCAGTTGACACCACATGGGAGAAAACACAGTTCCCACCAGAACTTTGATATTTCCTGGAGGTTTAAATTTCTGGGGTCAAATTGATCCCAAGGATTACAGATGTTAGATACCAGGAGGCTTAAACAAATACCGAATGGCTGAATGACAGTGAGGTCCATATGAAAAACTAAACCAACGCATCACACTATTATGAAGATGAATAAATTCCAATGCGCACTCCAAACACATTCTCTCAGATTTCACTCCTAAATGTCACTCTTTATTAAAAAGTCAAGCAGCAGACAAGCAAGAACAAAGGTGCGGATTCCGCTCGGGAGTACCTGTTCTGAAAAAACAAACAGAGCCGAGCGAGAGAGAGAGAGAGGGGAGAGAGAGGGAGAGAGGAACAGACAGACAAAGAAGGTACTTGAATGAGGGATACAGACAGAAAGTGAAATAAAAAAGAGTCAGTAACATAATGAGTTATTAGTACCAGCTTGTCTAGTGAACATGCCCATAATATACCATGCAGGCTTATGACCACTTCAGTACGATGTAGGGTTAAAGGCTAATCGCTGAGTCCAGATGACCTTGAGATTATAACAAAAGCCTTTCGTAAAGCTAATATTACAGCATTATATAAACTCTATCTATATAAAACTATCATTATTTAAAGGTTGTAATGGCTCCATTAGTGATGTAAAGCAAATGATCACATCTGTGCTGTATGTAAAGCTAAAAACTATGTATAGTGTAAAGCAAGCCAGTGTTAAAGCTAAGAATGTTACAATTAGAGATTAATTAATAAGCTAATAATTGTACCACTGACAATGATGAAAGCTAGTTGTAAAAAAAAAAAAAAGAAAGAAAATTGTAGCAGTGCAGCATGTAAATCTAACAACTGTACCATTAGAAATTATTAAAGCTAAAAATTGTACCAGGGCAGCATATAAAGCTATTTAAGCTAAAGCTACAAATCGTATCATTAGAAATTATTGAAGCTAAAAATTGTACCAGGGTTGCATAAAGCTACAGAATCTAAAGCTAATAAAGGTACCAGTGCTGGATGTAAAGCTAATAACTGTACTATTAGTGATTATTAATGCTAATAATTGTACCATTAGTAATTACTGGAGCTACAAATTGTACTACAACAGCATATAAAGCTACATAAGCTAAAGCTAATGACTGTGCCAGCGCTGTATATGAAGCTAATAATTGTAAAAGTGTTGGATGTAAATCTAATCCATGTACCATCGGCAATGATTAGAGCTAATAATTGTACCAGTAGCAATTATTAAACCTAAAATTTTTACTAGGGCTGCATATAAAGCTACAGAAGCTAAAGCAAATAATTATACCAGCATTGCATATAAAGCTTATAACTATACCATTAGCAATTATTAAAGCTAGAAATTGTAAAACAACTTGTACTAGTGCAGAAGCTAAAGCTAGCAACTGAATCTGTGCTGGATGTCAAGCTAATAATTGTACTAGTGCAAAGACTGGCACACAATGCTAATACAGTAAAACTGTAAAGCAGATATTTAACTGATAACTGTATCATTAGCAATTATTAATGCTAATAATTGTATCATTAGCAATTATTGAAGCTAAAAATTATACCAGGATAGCATTTAAAGCTATATAAGCTAAAGCTAATGACCAGTTAGCCAGTGCTGTATATAAAGCTAACAATTGTACCAGTGTTGGATGTAAATCTAATACATGGACAATTATTAAAGCTAAAATCCTGGGGCTGCATATAAAGCTACAGAAGCTAAAGCTAATAACTGTACCAGTGCTGAATATAAAGCTAATAACTGTATCAGCACAGAATATAAAGTTAATAACTGTATCAGCGCTGAATATAAAGCTAATAACTGTACCAGCACTGAATATAAAGCTAATAACTGTACCAGTGCTGGATATAAGGCTAATAACTGTACTAGCGCTGAATATAAAGCTAATAACTGTATCAGCACTGAATATAAAGTTAATAACTGTATCAGCGCTGAATATAAAGCTAATAACTGTACCAGTGCTGGATATAAGGCTAATAACTGTACTAGCGCTGAATATAAAGCTAATAACTGTACGAGCGCTGAATATAAAGCTAATAACTGTATCAGCGCTGAATATAAAGCTAATAACTGTATCAGCGCTGGATATAAAGCTAATAACTGTACCAGTGCAAAGACTAATACAGTAAAACTGCGAAAGCAGATATTTTACTTGTGTGCTGTACAAAATCAGTGCAGCGAGCGACGCAAATAACTAGTAACTTTAATTAATTAACTTTAATTAGTAATAATTAAAGACAAAAAACAGTGCAAAGTTTAAAGCTAAACATGTAAAGTTGTAATGCTAATGCTGATTGTTTCTACATTGGATGTGAAGCAAATAATTGTAGCAGTGCAGCATGTAAAGCTAATCTTTGTGCTTTTAGTAATAATACATGCTGACAATTACGCCAGCACAGCATGCATGTACCTGTGTGGCGCGTAAAGCTAATGATTGTATCAGTGCTGGATGAGACGATAATAATTGCACCTGTGTGGCGTGTAAGAGCATGCGGAGCATAACACTGTGTGGCAAAACCCAGTGTGACACCTGGCAAACACCCACCAAGAGCCAAAATGCTACTATGCTCTTAATAATACACCACACGGTAAGAGATAATTGACCTGTCAGAGTGACTGACAGTAGCTGTATGTGTGTGCGCGACAAAGAAAGCCCGCGATAAGGACGTGCCGTCGAATGAACAAAACCTTAAACAGAGGGAAGAATGAGTTATTTTGGAAAAGGAGAGAGAGAGAAAATGACAAAAAAAAGACAAAGAATAACTGACTCTCTTGCGGGAGAGCTTGGAGAACAGGCTGCTTTATGAAAAAGTGGATAAATAGCGAAAGAAAAGAAAATCAAAACAACACCTCTCCATACATTAGAATTCATCTAACCCCTGTCACACGCACACCCGTTCACACGCGCTCCATGAGAGCTTTCAAAACCAATCTCTCCGCAGACAGAGGCGGCCAGGCGTCTGTTGGCACGGTAACCTCGGGCTCGTGAATGCGGACACCAAACAGTTTTTAATCAACTGCAGCCATCGACTGGGAGGAACTGCATTTGCATTTGAAATGGCAGCTGGAGAGCAAAACCGGAGGGACTCGAAGCGAAGGACAAACGGAGAAAGCAGTGGAGAAATGGTTTAATGTATGGGCAAATGTTGGAGCTCATTTTATGGTAATGATATAGTCGGGCCGCTAAGTATATGGATGAATGGAAGAGGGTCAATAGGAAGAGCTCTATTACCAAACCAAAGCCAGGCTTAAAGGAATACTTCAGTACAAAATCAAATTCACCGTTTTAACTCCTAACCCAAGTGTAGTCAATCAGCCAAGACATGTTTGACGTCTGACGTTTGCTTCTTTACTTCTGCAGTGAAGATATGAGGCTAACACAGTAATAGAAGTAATGTTCATGGACACCAATTAGCATTGTGGAGGCCTTAATCTGTGGGGAGTGATTTTTTATTTCAGCATAATTAAATTGATAACATGTAAACAGAGTGTAAACAGAGTCATTCAGGGTTGTTTGGTATGAAACGCTCCATTCTAGATCATCTTAGCGACTCATAATAGTTCACAGTGGTTGTGATAGGAACCAGACGTCCACCTCTAAAAGCTCTCTCACACAAAGTTATTACATATTTTTTTATTATGAACACCTGATATCTGAGAAACTGTTTTACAATAGTTTTGTCGAAATATTTTAGGCTTTTTATCCAATCATGATAGAGGGTCATATGCATGGTCTTGCAAAGCAACATAGCCCGCAAAGAAATATTTACTTTTTCAGATGTACCACTAGGTGTCTATGATCAACATTACACTTAAACACTCGGAAGACTCCTGTAGGTTCACTGGTTGGTTTTGGATAGTAAATAAAATGGCTAGATTTGTGTTGTAGTCATGGCGACCTCTGCTTCCTATCACCGCCACTGTAAAGAAATCCTTGTAGTCTGTAAGTTTCACTACAATGAAGCATTTCAAATGAAATCTGAATGACTTTGTTGACATCTAAGTGATTAAATTAAGCAGAAATTTTGAAAAATCGGGGTTTGTAATTCAAGTTTTAAGACGGCTGCTGCTACTGGTTTAAGCTATATGACAAACCTTTGTTGATGCTTATAGTTAGCATTGGCTTAGTGCTAACATAATATTAGAAATCCCATAGAGGCTAAGAAACTAAGGCTTACAGTTCTGGCCATTTTTTTATTTATTTATTTATTTATTTAGTATAGTTAGTAGTGCATCATAAGCAAGTCTGTTTGAGATTACTCAACACTTTGATGGGATCTGACACAAGGGATGATTAGACATGCAGTTAACATCATGCTAATTGGTGGAGTATAGGCTTTTACATTACTTGTTAGCTACATTAGCCTCATAGCTCCAGTGCAAATTTACAGGAGTAAATGTCTGACACCCAACATGTCTAGGCTGATTGACTGCACTTGAGACAAGGAGGGAAAAGTGTGTATATTATTCTTTTTCACTGACGTATTGCTATTAAGTGATGCAATGTTTCCCTGTGTTATATAATTTTTATTATGACAATACTTTTTCTTACTTCTCTCTCTCTCTCTCTCTCTCTCTCTCTCTTTCTCTCTCTCTCTGTACTCACAGGGTGAAGTTTTCTTCAGGATAGCAGCGGTTGCGCAGCAGCCCCGCCCACAGCTGCACGCCGATGATGCCGAAGATGAAGAAGACGAAGAAGCACAGCAGGAGAACGTTCCCCAGCATGGGCAGAGTATCCAAGAGCAGGTTCACCAGGATCCGCATACCTACACAAACACAGGGCAGCCTTGAGCATCTTCAGAGAAGCCTAACGATTTCAAAACACCTCTGTAATTCATTTATTTTAAATAGAATCATCATTTTTGCATTTAAACATTCTTGTATTTAAAATCTGCAGGTAGTTATATCCTATTTACAGTCTCATTTCACTGGAGGGTTGATTTTGGTTGGAAATAAATAGTTAAAAGCTTCAAACACCCAACAGAAATTTATCAGTCAAGATTTTTTCCCTGTGGTATCTAGCTAGACAAAGCAAATTGAGCTCTCACCTTGGTTAGGACTTCAGGAGCTGGACTGAAGGCCTTCTATGTTAGATTAGCTACCAACATAATTAGTAACTGACAGAGGAATCCAATCAGGTTTCTGTTAGTTGTTACGAATGGAAAACTTGTTACAAACTTAATTGTTACAAACTTAATATAAAATGTCTTTTACAAACTTCAAATGTCTGCTTTTAATCACGAATATCCCAAAAAGTTGCTCCAGCATTAGCTCAGTGCTAGCATAACATTAGAAATCCCATAGAGGCAAACAGTAATTAGTATTATCGTAAAGGTGGTTTTATTTTTTGTTTTGTTTTGCTTTTAATATTTATTTGTGATGTATTGTTGACAGATGACAGACTTCTGCTTATCATCATTAATAAGGAGCTGTGGAATCTGCACAACAGCCATAACACAGCCTGTTTTTTTTTCTAATATTTTCTACAAATATTTTCCTTTTTTTTTTTTTAATTTTCATGTTGGTTCAGTAGTAGGTGGTTCTTTGCCATGTTGAGCGATGAAACCCACCAGACTATCTGATGATAATGAGAAGTTAAGCTTGCGAGACAAGAGAAGCCCTTGTGATCAGTGTCCCAGGGATATGTGTGTGTATGTGTGTGTGTGTGTGTATGTGTGTGTGTGTGTGTATGTGTGTGCGTGTGTGTGTGTGTGTATGTGTATGTGTGTGTGTGTGTGTGAGTGAAGCTCTGCTGGAACTAAATGAAGGGTGTGTGTCTGTACTGATTGGAGAAATGCAGTGTATGATTATTGCTCGGTGTGTGTATGGCACCTGTGTAGCCACAGGGAGGTCTGGGGGGGGGGGCAGCCCCCCTTCCCCCCAGGTTTCTGACTACTGAAGTATAATTTGCTTTGCGCTTTCCCTTGCAGGTTCATCTATAACACAGGTTGAACCCAAAGGCTCTGAGTTTGTGCATCTACACTCCGTTTTTCCACCTTAAACAAGTAAAAGTGACCACCAAAGCACTTCTTTGATCATCACCAATTTTCAGCCCGTGTTATCACCATGGCAACGTTTACATGGCTGCATGCCGACATCGCAATAAGGCATGGAATGTCACTTTTTTCAACAGCAATATGTAACACTAAACACAATAGCTATGACCAAACTACATCCCTACTCCCCCATTGTTATTACCCTTTATAAAATGGCTAATTCCGGTCCTAAAATCTGATTGGCTGAGCCACGTTTGAAGCCATTGTAAAATCTATGATATGCGCACTCCTATGACCGCTTCACAACAACTGAATTGTGCATTACTGCGCCACAGCACAAAAAAAAAATCCTTAACTGGAGTCTGGCAAGTTATTTTCTTACCTAGAACTAGGCTGGTCAGCTAGCTAACAGGCTAAAAGCGCCAACAGCCTAAACAACTCCATCATTAAAAATATCACTTGAATGACTTACAAGCTTCAAATGTCCGTGTTTCAGTCAGAAGTAGCGTCAAAACCAGACTGAATCCCGAACGGTTCCGTACTCCCTAAATAGTGTTCTAGCTATGAAAGTTTAGAAATTCTAGCCTCTACAGCCAAACAGTGCATCATGTATCCAGTGTGGATGTGTCTGAATCCTAAATGACTGTTTCTTAGCTGTGTTTTGCTCTGTTGGGCTGCAGGATCCAGTATTCAAACTCCTACGTAGTGCACTATGTAGGGAGCAGGGAGCCGTTTGAGATTCAGCCCCAGTGTGAGAAGAGGGCGCCGCTGGATTGGTGCAAAATTAGACTTGCAGCGGTAATTTAGTGACCAAAAAGTGCCTATAAAGCAAAGTTTTTGCTTTAAACAGTGCCGTGTTATCATATGTTCATTGTAATACGACAAAAAGTTTAAAACATTCATGAAGTGACTGCAGTTTACAGCAATGGGCGACTGCACATTCTCCTCTTGGCGGAATATTTGTTTATGTTGATTATTATTGATATTAACTTGAAAAAGTGTGTATTTTATCATATTTTATGTTGGCCGCCACTTCATAAAAAACTTTGTATCATAACTAAGAACACCCTTCTTGTGATAAAATCACAGTAAGTTACAGCCTCTGATGGCTTATTACTTTAATATGAACTATTCTAATGAATTAATGTAAACTGCTGCTAATAATAATAAAAAAAGTTTAATATTTTATATTCTATAGATGGAATAAATGGTGTTCATTTTTAATAATTTCATTTTTTATGTTTTACTTTTTTTCCAATATGTTAAACTCAGCACAAACATAGAACTTGTGCCCTAAAACTTGCAGGAAAAAAGTTTGTAGAGGATGTGTAAACTTATTTTCACTCAGAAAATCAATAGATCACTTGACTGGAATGTTAAAATGTACAGCTATATCTTCTCATCTCACTCCAAACAATTCAAATGAAAAAAGAAAAACATTTAGCATGACGTCACACATGTGCTGCTTAAAATCCCAGCACCCCCAACTTTAAACACCTTCCCGCGTCGCTGGTGTTAGGAGTGTGTGGCGTGTGTTGTGGTTGATTGAAATGCAGTGCCGCACTGCAGGCTGCTCATTAAAGGAGAACAGTGTGTGGCATAATTGGACGACAGAGAGAGAGAAGAGGAGAGGAGAGAGAAGAGGGGAGAGAAGCACTGCCACAGGGGGAGGAAGACAAGAGAGAAGGAGGGAAAGAAGAGAAGAAAAAGGAAGAGGAGAGCAGAGAGAGTGGGGTGAGTGGCAGTAAAGAAGGAGAACGGAAAGTGATAAAGTTACTGGAAGATGCAGATGAAAATCATCCTAATGAGAGGACGGTCCACTTAACGGGGGTTTAAGTTACTTCAAAAAAATTCAATCTCTTCTTACCCCAAATGTGGTCAATCAGACATATATGGTGTCATTAAGGGGGCACTTTGTCCTCTTCTGCTGCAGTAACAGCCTCTACTCTTCTGGGAAGGCTTTACAGTAGATGTGAGGATTTGATTGAGCATTAGTGAGGTCAGGTGCTGATGTTGGATGGTCAGTTCTGGATCACTCCAGCTCATTCCAAAGTTATTGGATGGAGCTTATCATTCCAGAGAACGCAGTTCCACTGATCCACAGCCCAGTGCTGGGGGGATTTATACCCCTCTAACCCACGCTTGGCATTGGGCATGATGACCCCATGACACATGATAGTCTCAGGTGTGGCTGCTCCAGACCGTCCCATTCCACTGGTCAGTGTATCCATATTACACTCAATACAAGTGTTATCTTGATGCCTTTGGATATATACAGATCAGGCATTACATTATGACCACCTCCTTGTTTCTATGCTCATCGTCCATTTTATCAGCTCCACTGACCATATAAGAGTACTTTGTAGTTCTACAGTTACAGACTGTAGTCCATCTGTTTCTCTGCATACTTTGTTAGCCCCCTTTTACCCTGTTCTTCAGTGGTCAGGACCCCCATGAACCCTCATAGAGCAGGTACTATTTGGGTGGTGGATCATTCTCAGCACTGCAGTAACACTGACGTGGTGGTGGTGTGTTAGTGTGTTGGTGTGTGTTGTGCTGGTCTGAGTGGATCAGACACAGCAGTGCTGCTGGTGTTTTTAAACACTGTGTCCACTCACTGTCCACTCTTTTAGACACTCCTACCATGTCAGTCCACCTTGTAGATGTAAAGTCAGAGACGATAGCTCATCTGCTGCTGCACAGTTTGTGTTGGTCATCCTCTAGTCCTTCATCAGTGGACACAGGACGCTGCCCACAGGACGCTGTTGGCTGCATATTTTTGGTTGGTGGACAGTTCTCAGTCCAGCAGCGACACTGAGGTGTTTAAAAACTCCAGCAGCACTGCTGTGTCTGATCCACTCAGACCAGCACAACACACACTAACACACCACCACCACGTCAGTGTTACCGCAGTGCTGAGAATGATCCACCACCCAAATAGTACCTGCTCTGTGAGGGTCCATGGTGGTCCTGACCACTGAAGAACAGGGTAAAAGGGGGCTAACAAAGTATGCAGAGAAACAGATGGACTACAGTTTGTAACTGTAGAACTACAAAGTACTCTTATATGGTCAGTGGAGCTGATCAAATGAGCATAGAAACAAGGACATAATGTTCATAATGGTCATAATGTTATGCCTGATCAGTATATAGTGGACCACGTGTGCCTTTGATTTCACCCAAACCGCCAGCGTCCCTCGCTATCCCCTCATCAATTTCCATCTGCAGCAAAACCACACACATGCTAATTCAATTAGCATTCATATTTCATGAGCTACAGTGTGCTGAAATATTGATGAAGATGGGCGCTCACGAAAGGACCCCGAAAAAGGCAGCTGTGTTTGTGCGCAGGTGAGAAGGGTTGTGAATTATGGCTGCGCTCAGAGAAAACAGTTTTGCCGTCTAATTATGAGACGGATTAATCTAGCTGCAGTTCAAGCTGTGACTCACAGGTAATGGCTTTCAAATCTGCTTTAATTCAGTCCCACTCAGTGAGCAGCAAACACCTGCATGAGGCGGCAAATAGGTGCCAACACAGACGAGAAAGAATTACACCCAAACTACCTGTCGGAGGTTTGAGGACAGCTTGTCTTCTTATGAAATATTCCAATTAATATTTGATTTTCATTGTGCTTTTCGTTCAATGGGCTTGCATGTTTTTACTTGAGACGCATTTATGATGTCTGTGAGCCTTATATTTTTATTAATCTTGTCCTTATTCCTGTGTAGAAGAAAACTAAACTAAAAAAAAATAAAATAATCTAATGCATGAAAACAAACCATAGAAATAACCCCAGATTGTATTAATCCCATATTGTTACATAACCCTTAAAAATAATCTATTATATCAATCCTGTGCTATAAATGCACCACAGAAATAAACCTACATTACAATAATCCTGTGCTATAAAATGAACCATAGAAATAACCCCAGATTATTTTAATCCTGTGATATAGAATGAACCATAGAAATAATCCCATATTATATGAATCTCATGCTGTAAAATGAACCATGAAAACAACCTGAGATTATAGTAATCCTGTGCCACAAAATGAACTGTATAAATAACCTCATATTATATTTAATCTTATTATATTATTATATTTAATTTAATGATGTAAAAGGAACCGGAAATGTAACCCTAGATTATACTAACCCTGTGCTATAAAATACACCATATAAAAATTCCAGATTATTTTTTAATCCTGTGCTATAAAATGAACCATAGAAATAACCACAGATTATATCAATTCTGTGGTATAAAATGAACCATAGGGATAACCCCAGATTATATTAATCCTGTACTATAAAATGCTCCACATTAATCTGGTGAGGTTATATTAATCCTGTGCTATAAAATGAACCATAGAAATAATCCCATATAAAATTGATCCAATGCTATAAAATGAACCACAGAAATAACCCCAAATTATATTAATGCTGTGCTATAAAATAAACCTTAGACCCATGCTATAAAATGCTCTATTCACCACAGAATTAAACCCAGATTATGTTAATCACATGTTACAAAATTAACTGTACAAATAACCTCAGTTTATATTAATCTCATGCTTTAAAATGAACCATAGAAATAACCCCAGATTATCATTTGCTATAAAATGAACCGTAGAAATAATCTCAGATTATATTAATCTCGTGCTCTGAAATGTACCACAAAATGACCCCAGATTATATTAATTCTCCGCTATATATTGCACCATAGAAATAACACCAGGTTACATTAACTTTGTGCTATAAATCAAACTGAAGAAATAACCACAGTTTATACTAATCCTGTGCTGAACAATGCACCACAGAAATAATGCCAGTTTTTTGGAAATGTTTAGGAAATTATAATACTGTTTACATACTACATAAAAAGTTGACTTTCACAGTTTAAATAGTTTTCAAACTCTCAGAGACACCCAGATGCATACACACACACACACACACACACACACACACACACACACACACACACACACACAACGGGACTCACTGGGCACTCTGTTGATGGCTTTGAGCGGCCTGAGCACACGCACTGTTCTGATGGCGGAGAGGTTGATGTTCTGGAGATCAAGAGAGTATTCTACCATCCTGAGAAAGAGAGAGAGAGAGAGAGAGAGAGAGAGAGGAGAGAGAGAGAGAGAGAGAGAGAGAAAAGGAGAGTATAGAGAAAGGAGTAAAGAGAAAGAGAGAAAAAGTGAGAGGGCAAGAAAGAAGAAGAAGAGGGGAGGAAGAGAAAGAAAAAAGAAAAAGGAGAGAAAAAAGAGAGAGAGAGATAAAAAACATAAGCAAACAATGCTACAATTCGCTTTTACTGATTTATATTTATGGATACATTTAAGCAAATCTGTAAGATTGACAGTATGTGTTTATTTGTTTATTCGTGTTATATATATATTTATGCACAGCAGTGGATTTGTAATTGGTTCAGAATTGGCCTTGGACAGCAGCATCACTCCTCCAGCGCCTGCTTACTGCACTCATCCATTTTCTCCCCAGGTGAGATGCAGATACACTACAGAGAGGCTTCACATTAATCTCATACATAAAACAAAACACCTCACACCTGGAGAGAACACGACAGCTCAGAGCCAGGCCCAGAACACACTGCTCTCCATCATCACTACGGTCTGTGTGTGCACTGAGCTGCTGCTTTGGTCTCTGCTCAGAGCACAAAATGAGCTGTTATTACAATACAGCAATTTAATGTACGTTTATCTCCAGACTCCTGATAGCTTTTATTACTTACATCATCAATATACACTATATTGCCGAAAGTATTTACTCACCCATCCAAATCATTGAATTCAGGTGTTCTAATCACTTCAAAGGCCACAGGTGTATAAAACCAAGCACCTAGGCCTGCAGACTGCTTCTACAGACATTTGTGAAAGAATGGGTCGCTCTCAGGAGCTCAGTGAACTCCAGCGTGGTACCGTGATAGGTCCAGTCGTGAAATTTCCTCGCTACTAAATATTCCACAGTCCACTGTCAGTGCTATTATAACAAAGTGGAACTGATTGGGAATGACAGCAACTCAGCCACGAAGTGGTCGGCCACGTAAAATGACAGAGCGGGGTCAGCGGATGCTGAGGCGCATAGTGCGCTGAGGTCGCTAACTTTCTGCAGGGTCAATTGCTACAGACCTCCAAACTTCACGTGGCCTTCAGATTAGCTCAAGAACAGCGTAGAGAGCTTCATGGAATGGGTTTCCATGGCCGAGCAGCTGCATCCAAGCCTTACATCACCAAGCGCAATGTAAAGCGTCGAATGCAGTGGTGTAAAGCGCCGCCACTGGACTCTAGAGTAGTGGAGACGTGTTCTCTGGAGTGACGAATCACGCTTCTCCATCTGGCAATCCGATGGACGAGTCTGGGTTTGGTGGTTGCCAGGAGAACGGTACTTGTCTGACTGCATTGTGCCGAGTGTAAAGTTTGGTGGAGGAGGGATTACGGTGTGGGGCTGTTTTTCAGGAGTTGGGCTCGGCCCCTTAGTTCCAGTGAAAGGAACTCTTAGTGCTTCAGCAGACCAAGAGATTTTGGACAATTTCATGCCCCCAACTTTGTGGGAACAGTTTGGGGACGGCCCCTTCCTGTTCCAACATGACTGCGCACCAGTGCACAAAGCAAGGTCCATAAAGACATGGATGAGCGAGTTTGGTGTGGAAGAACAGGCATGTGATACAATATAATCTGCCTGTATTGTAAATGTTTTCTCAGAATTCGACACTGGATGCCGTTTAAAACATTCTATACAACCACTGAACATTCAGTGGAGTGGGAGCCCATTAGAAGATTGGTGGCCATTATTAACCTCTCTCTCCCTCTCTCTCTCTCTCTCTCTCTCTCTCTCCCTCCCTCCCTCCCATGTCCTTCATGAATATTTGAGAAGCTGTGGACAGTCATGGCTTCCTCACAGGGCTACTCTGAAGTTTGATGCTCTTTCCTCATTATCTTTCGCTCTCGTTTCGTCTCTCTCCTCCGTTCCCTTCTGATTTCTCTCTTCTACAGCCGTCTCCAAACACACACTGGCTCTGCTCTATCAATTACCGTCAACACACTCTGCTTCTCCATTGCTTCTTCTTCTTTTTTACTCATTGCTCTTCTCCTTTTCCTTCTTCCCTCCATTGTCTCTATTTCTTCTACTACTTCTTCACATTCTTCCAGCATTTCTTTTCCTCCTATTACTTTTCTTTTTTTCCTCTGTTTCATCACCAGGATTGATTACTTCATCATCTTCTCTCATTATTTCCATTCGCTTGCGACAGATTGCCCTCCCTCTACTTCACCAGCTCTAGACTTTCCTCTTCTCTCACTCTGTCCAAATCTCTTTTCCTTCGTTCAGGGGTCAGATTCGTGAAAGTGAAAGTTTACTTTGTTGGTTCACATTTCTGATCATATTTAAAAGATCTGCAATAAAATACTACAGATTTTGAAAACTTTTCAGCATTAATTCGGTGTTTGAGATGTGATTCAGAGTGGTTTGGTGTGAAATGGTTTGGATGTCTTTACAGTGGTGGTGATAGGAACCAGGGGTCGCCATGACTACAACACAAATATAGACGTTTCATTTACTATCCAAAACCACCAGTGAACCTACATGAGTCTTCTGAGCTTTATATGGAATGTTGATGATGGAAAATAGTGGAAAATCAGAAAATAAGTTATTTCTGGACTATTTTGCCTCACAACACCCTGCATGTATCCCTCCATCATATTTGGATTTATAAAAATATGTTGTGGGTTAAAATATTCTCAAAACTATCGCAAAACAATGTCTCAGACATCAGGCAGCGTATTCATATCCATTTCATGTAATAACTTTCTGAGCTTCAGACGTCTGGTTCCTATCACCACCACTATAAACAATTCTGACTGGGTTTCTCTAGACCAGGGGTCGGCAACACGCAGCTCTGGAGGTGCATGTGGCTCTTTTACTGCCCTGTTGTGGCTTCACAGCAGAATTAGATTTGTAGGTAAAAATAAAATAATCCTCCTTTACAGTAAAATAAAGCTCTGCTGGTCGTTCAACACAGTTTAACAATAAATGGTCTTAAACTCTGGAGTTAATGTAGAACTGCTAATTCACCCTTTAACCCTGAAGATCAGCGCAGACTGCTGGTCACCATAGGAACCTTGCCTAGGTAATAGCTAATGAAAAGACAAAGAGAAAGATTTAAGGTGAACATTGACAATTTGGAGACAAACAGACTTATATGCATATATAATCAATCTAGCTGGTTTTCTGATATGTTTAATCTGCAATGAGAAACTGTCAAACACTAAAAAAGTCACGAAGCTGAAGTCACCTTGAGGTGGAATGGGAAAATTCGAACGAGAAGCTAGCGAACGAGAAGCTGACTTCAGCACTGTAAAAGTTGAACGTTGAGACACATTTTAGAATAAACTATTGTACTTTTGGAATGGTTTCCTGCCGGAGATGCGAGAAAAGCAGCTATAGCTGAGCTAAAACTAAAAGCAGAGCAAAGTAAGTCTGCGTTTTTATTTATATTATATTTTTTAATCTATACTAGTACATCAGCACATACTGAGACAAATTTACAACCAAGATGGCAAAATGGACACAAACTATTGTGGCTCCCAAGGAGATTTGACTTGACTGAAGCATTTCACATCAAAACCACTCTGAATTATTGTGTTACTTTGAGAAAAGTTGACGTGTCTTCACAAAAAACATATGTTTACTCTATAGAACAATTCTAAAAAACTTTTCTGTCTAATAATAAAATAGTTTCATGCAGTTCTTAGACCATAAGAGCTGGCAAGGTAAGCCTTCAGCCAAGTGTATCTAAACTATTGACTGGCACACATAAGCACTTAGCAATGGAAACAGAGTCATTTCTCAGAAGATAGGTCGGCTGGCTTTGGATGCTCCAAAAATATCTGTAGTGATTTTTCCAGCGATGCAGAAATGTCATGCGGCCAATTGAAATGGCAAATAAAATGAGACGACCCCGAGGAACCGGCTCAGCTTCTCTCACCTGCCCATCCACTCTCACTCAGAAACACTTTACACATACATTTTACAAGGAAAAGGTGCCACAGAGACTGTAATGCACATATGAGATCTATATTATGGAGACGGTGAAGATGGTATAGTACTCTCAACCCCAACATTGCACCAGCATGCAGCTTCACTACAAACCCTCCTGAGATCTTAAGACTTTTTCACAGTGTCTAACAGGTTCAGCAGCCATTTAAACATGAAAAACGTATTTGGCTTCTAAATCTGTCTTTGAAGCCAGGCAGGAGCCAGAAGGTCATGATGAGGTCATTCATACGCAGTGTGGAGGACAAATAAAAGATCTCACTCAGTAACAAAGATGGTGAATGACAAATTATCTTTACACCATAACATTTCGGAGCTTCATCACTCCAGCTCATCCTAAAGTTGATCAATGGAGATTCATCTTCCTGACTAAAGGTGTTCAGTGGAGCTCCATCACTCCACATCATCTGAAAGGTGTTCAGTGGAGCTTCAGCACTCCAACTCATCTCAAAGGTGTTCAATGGAGCTCCATCACTCCAACTCATCTCAAAGGTGTTCAGTGGAGCTCCATAACTCCACATCATCTCAGAGGTGTTCAATGGAGCTCCAGCACTCCAACTCATCTCAAAGACATTCACTGGAGCTCCAGCACTCCAACTCATCTCAAAGGTGTTCAATGGAGCTCTAGCACTCCAACTCATCTCAAAGGTGTTCAGTGGAGCTCCATCACTCCAACTCATCTCAGGTGTTCATTGGAGCTCCAGCACTCCAACTCATCTCAAAGACATTCAATGGAGCTCCATCACTCCAACTCATCTCAAAGGTGTTCAGTGGAGCTCCATCACTCCAACTCATCTCAGGTGTTCATTGGAGCTCTAGCACTCCAACTCATCTCAAAGACATTCAATGGAGCTCCATCACTCCATCTCATCTCAAAGACATTTAATGGAGCTCCATCACTTCAACTCATCTCAAAGGCGTTCAATGAAGCTCCAGCACTCCAACTTATCTCAAAGACATTTAATGGAGCTCCATCACTTCAACTCATCTCAAAGGTGTTCAATTGAGCTCCATCACTCCAA